TATGTTCCTGGCCCACATTTAGCAGTGCTCAGGGGCTACTCCCTGCTCTGTGCTCAGTGGTTATTTCTGGGATGCTCAAAGAAGCATGTAGAGGGGTTACTGAGCCTGGGCCACCTGCATGCAAAGTCCATGCTCAGCTGAGATATCTCTTCAGTCCCCCTATAAAATTTATTTTTTGAATTTTTACTGAAAAATAAACTAGCAATAAGACCAAAAGCAAAATGGCAAACTGAAAATTATCTACAATACATGTCAAAGAGTAGGCACTAATTTCCATAAAACAAAAAATCATAGAAACAAGTATTCCTATATGAAAAAAATAAAAGGGCAAGGGATATAGTTCAGTAGTGGTAGAGACATGCCAAACTGGCAAAAGGCCCTGGATTCCATTTCTGGCACCAATAAATAAGAATAATATATATGAAAAATAAAAGGATAATATAAGATGCTACAAGGAAAACAAACATGACTTTTATGGCTACATATCTGAAAAAAGAAGAAAATATACCTATTAAGCTAGCAACTTATGGGCCAAAGCGGTAGGGCCAGCAGGTGGAGTGTTTGCCTTCACACGGCCAAGCTTGGTTCGATCCCTGGCATGGTCCCCCGAGTACCACCTGGTGTAATTCCTGAGCAAAGAGCCTGGAGTAACCCCTGAGCAACGCCAGGTGTGACCAAAAAGCAAATAAATAAACAAATAAATAAACAGGCAACTTAGAGTGTACTACAGATATTGGTTAGGGTGCTTGCCTTAGATGCAGCGGATCCTAGTTCAATTCCCAGCAACTCATAGGGCCACCCAAGCATCACGAGGAGTGAATCCTGAATGCAGAGCCAGAGAATATCCCTGAGCATCACTGGGTGTGGCCCAAAACACACACACATACACATACACAAAAAGGTTTTAATAATCCACTATTCTGTGACCTCTGACACATGAAGCAGCACTCAACATCACAGTAGACATAAAAAGGCAGAACCTCTATGGAGAGTCACTTGACAGCATTTATCAAATCATAAGTGCTAATTTACTTACAACCAACAATTGTGCCTCTAGAAATTCATTCTAAGGACAGACACAACAATGTGTACAAAGTTATATGCATACAAGATATTCATTGTATCAATCACTTATGTTAGCAAAACTGTAAACATTTTAAGTGCTCATTCAGAAGAAAGAAATGCCACTCTTTTACTTATTTAATTTTTCCACTCCTACTCCGCCATTTACATTCTCTATCTCTTCTAAAATATACACACTAAAAACATCAATGGTTGTTCCTAAGAAAGCCAATTAGCTAGAGTCAAGAAAGAAGGAAAACTAATCTCTATTCTGTGATCTTTTGCACCATTTGGATTTTATTCCATGAATAAACATTGGGTGTAAATTTTAAGAGTTTAGTAATTGTTCACTTTTTTTCTCTGATTTGCTAGCTTTCCAGTTCACATTAGCAACAGTGTTTAACTGTTTTCCCACCTAACACACAGTATTTAAACAGACTTATTATTAAATAATGATAGCAAAATGGGTTTTGGTCTTATCCCCATGATTTTCTTGCCCCTGAACTCTACTTCTACATAACTACAAAAATAGCACTGTTCTCTATTCTTTACTGGGTGTACAGAAACAGTCAGTGGTAGATAACTGGAGAAAGAAATTATGAATTTCTCGGTCTCATGGGACAAACATCATTATTGCAATTATGGGAACAAGTGAGAAGTTGTTTCACAGTGTTTCACGAAGTTTCATCGGCACTGTCACTACAGATACAAGATCAAGTTCTTTATTTTTCATGTTTAAGAACTTTTATTTCCATATGTCTAGAGTCAAAAGGGCTACACTCATCAAATTCACAGGAAATTAACTGCTTACATACAAAGATAATGTTTTAATTTAAATTTAAGAATCTATGTTTGTATGTATGTGTACAAAGCACATATATAGAATTATGATTTGGTAATCCTGATATGAAATGTATGAAATGTCCATATACAAAATTTACATGCACACATGATATATACATATGTGTATATAAATATATGAAAACTAATTGCGCCTAATAAAAAATCATGCAAATGACAAACTTAAAGAGAGCCACATTGTACTATGAGTGTGTACAGGGAGAAGAAAACAGATCAGAAGCATCATAGGAGGTCCTTTTGAGAAACAGAACGTGATCAATCAGAGAACCAAGAGCAGAAACATGATGAGAACAGAATGAGGAAAGAGAGGGGTCCTGGTGATGGAACAGCATTTGCAGTAGCCTTATGGCGGAAAAGGTAATGGTATGTCTAAGGAGGAGGGAAAAGATGCTCTTAGAAGCAAATGAATATGACAAATGACAACTGGAGAGTAAGAAAGAGGGTGAACCACACTGTGACTTTGATGCCAGATGAAGGATTCTGGCTTATCCTAAAAACAACAAAGATCTAGCAAAGTACTGTAAGCAAAGGGGAAAATGGACCCGTGCTTGCAAAAACAGTAGTGCACTGCAGGAAATAGTCTGGGTAAAGGTGGAGGGCTTAGAAGCTACTGCAGAGAGGCCTAAGCAAGGGATAATGGCATGGACTACAATTAGAGAAAAAATTAAAACAGGCTTTGGTGATTGATTATATCTAAAATGTAGAGGAGAGGGAAATATTGAAGCAGATGCATAGCTGCATGAATAAAGATGCTATTACTGAAAGAACACACTCCAGGGTGTTGTTTTATTTCATCTGGGGCCAGACAGAAGTGAAGGACGCAAAGAATAAGGAAGGATCCAGGTGCTCTATATCTGGAAGTCTTTGATGGAGGGGCGGAAAAAAAAAAGTAGTTCTGCTATTTAAAAAAAATTGTTTTAACCTTCAGGATTAACCATGAATAAAACAGTCCTAAACATTGCTCACCCTCCCTTTGGCCTAAAAATCTGTTAAAATATCTTAAAATTAAATCATTCAATCGAGTGGGGGGGAGTGGTTTCTGAGACAATCATTAAGAAAATCAAGGATAGGTGTAAAGAAGAAATTCAAAGTAAAAGCTGAACCCCCCCCCGCCAAACATTCCCAATTCTAAAATGAATAAAAAGTCAGCAGTTGCCTACTTGGAGAAGGAGGAATAAAGTATCAAAGGGGGAAAGGTGCAGAAAGAAGAGGCTTTCTGACCCCAGTGCATGAATTTTCACACATTTGTCTTTACCTCTGGACAAATGGCTGTTCTTGGCCTTTTGTGCTAAGGGAATGCAGAGATAGCTCCACACCTAGGCCCGTTAATAGAAAACATGGCTTCCACTGCCATCAGGTGGTGGCCCTGGGGAAGTGTACCCTGTCCAGGTTCTTGGAGTCTGGGAATGCCAAGCTTGAGTCCCAACATAATTAAGCTAAGATCAAAGACCTAAAAGATTGCAGCAGTAGAGGGCAGTCTGGTGAGTCGCAGGCAAAAAATGTATCTTCTGAGCTCAAAACAGCGTTTCGCTATTTATTTGGGGTGTAAAACAGATACCTGTCCCCTCTTATTCAAGTTAAATATCACACAGTCAGCAATTCTAAGAATGCCCAGTTACTTATGCCGTCAACCCAAACCCAATTCCGGGTACTGTATATTATATTTCTTTAAAAATGCCTTAATATTCATTTTGAAGGCATGTATAAATGGGTTCCCGTGCATTTCTAGCACACATCAATAACCGTATCACAAACATAAGCAATTGTCTCACTGAATATGCACAATTCCCTTTACCTTCAAATTAATCAAATAACAATTTTGTACTCCTGCTTATAAATACAAGACATAGTAAGTAAAACAATTCACAAACCATCATGTTCTCAAAACACATCAGCGATACAAATAACATCACTAATAAAATCAACTTCAACATTATTCACAGAAAACATGGTGAATGATTAACACATCATTCCTGATCGTTCTCATCATGGTAAAAATAAGCTTGCCAATAAAACATGTCATTCTGTGCAGGAATGGAGTCCTTGCTTCCTTCTCCTACGCTTAAGATTCACTTACAAAGGCACTTCTTTCAAATTGTCTTGACATTCACATCAATTCCATTTGTCTTGGTTTTTCTTTTTAAGGCATCTGAACTCAAGGACAGGGAATTTTAGGCCCAAAACGTGAAGTAATGGCACGAGGTCTATTTTCCCCATTCTCAATCAGCTGTCAATGTAGCTGCAGCTTAATTTTCCTCACTAACTACATCCTTGGTCTTTTGTTTTCTCCCCCCCCCCCTTAATGTCCCGACACTATTATCCATTCCGTCTTTGGACATTCCTAACCATTCATAAATCAACTCGTTGTTCCCTAATTCTCAAGGCAGTTTCCCCACCTACCCGTTTCCCACCACCCAACCCCCATTCCCCCTCCTTCCTTGTTTCAGAATACCTAGCACACACACACTGAGAGGTGGCTTTCACCAGGAAATAAAAAAATAAATAAATAAATAAATCATCCTTTGGAATGCTCTTTCCTCTTCTCGCCTCAATTTAAGCACCCTTTAAAGATTAATTTTGCATAGCTAGGCACCCAAGGTCTTCCTTTAAAGCAGATCAAACTGCGGAAGAAGAAGAGACACGGGGTTGGTGGGGGGGGGGAGTGGGGGGAACCTGGTAAGCGAAACATTTGGGAATGTCAATAAGACAGCGGCCTCTGCTTTGAAAAAGAAAACACAACTCTCAGCACAGTGCTTTCAACAGAGAAAAGAAAAGAAAAACAACAACACTTTCCTCCCCCCCCCCCACTCCTCCTCCTCCTCTTCCACCTCCTCCTCCTCCTCCTCTTCCACCACCTCCTCCCCGCCGTATTCCTGTTCCCCTCCTGACCTCAAAGGCACCTTTTCCCTTTTCTCTGATCCCCAGCCCCTCTCCGCTCAGACGAGGGGCCTGCTAAGGAAAAATTAAAATAAAATAAAACAAACCAGAGAAGCAAACCCCGGGAGAAAAGAAAAGGGAGCAGTCACCTCCCCGTCCCGCCCGCCAGCTGTCAGGCGGGACCAGGTCCCACGACTCACCTGGCAGGTGCGGCCGCCCGGAGAGTTGCACGAAGCGGTTGAGCTGGCCAGTGACCCGACCCCCGTTGCCCCCACTGCCCCCGCTGGCCCCGCTACCTCCGCCGCCACCGCCGCCGCCGCCCGCGGCGCCTCCTCCCCTCCGGCGGTTCCTGTCCCAGCCTTGGGCGGCCGACATGACCCGCGAACGATCGCCGCAGCCCCGGCCCGGCAGTCCCCGGCCCGTCGGCACTAGGCACCACGGAGCCTCCTTCCTGGGCTCCTCAAGAGACCCGGGAGCCAGGGGAAGGGGGAGCGCCCGGTCTCGGCGGGGGCCAATGACCGACTTCCTTGGTGACAGACAGCCAATCAGCAGTCGTCTTCTTGGTAGGTGGAGGGAGGCGGGGAGAGACGTGGTAACCATAGCTATGGCTAAAAAAAAAGTGCGGGGGGGGGTGCGGACAGGCAGAAGCAAACGCTCGTCACTCGCATCCACCGGACGGCGGCGCGGGCAGAGCCAGGCGGGCTAGTCGAAAGCCGAGTGCGCGAGGCCCCGCCTGCAGAAAGCGTCCCAGGGACTCCCCGCACGTTCAGCATTCGGGAACTCTTTTCAATAAACACTGAAATCAGACATCCGATATGCACAGATATGCACATATCTGGGGGAGACAGTGTTTTGCCGGCCTTTTGCAGATGACGAATTCTTTCTCGGACCGTTGACACACACAAAGGACTCTCGGAGGAGGGGGAAGGTGGGAGATAAGGGAGGGCGGAGTCAAAGCTTAAATGTAAGAAAAGAGGTTTCATTTGTCCTGTCTGGCAGTTGGACTGGCTGAAGTCCTCCCGTCTCGACTTCCAAAGCAGACCCATCTGAAAGCTGGTTCTCGAGAACGATAAATGTTCGAGCTCGCCAATAATTAGGGGAATTCAAATGAAGACCTCAATGAGAGGTCAATGGCACCTTACTAAAAAGAAAAAAAAAAATTTAGGCCATCAGGAAGTAGAATGCTTAAGAAAAGGTCCTTTCACTGATGCCTAGAGTCTATGTAAATATTTTTTGATCAGTCAAAAAATCCCTTTTGCCTGTAGAAAATCTGAATCAGCCTAGAGACAGGAAGGAGTACAGAAGAAGACTTGATAGGAGGAAAAAGTAGAAGTACGGGTGAGAAATGTCTATTGTTCTAAAATAAAATGTTGGCTTTGCACTTACCAGGCGCAGTGCAAAGTGGGAAAAGACAGTGAGTGATTGGGGGTAAGGTGTGAATTCCTCAGGAGGGGAGGGAGAGTCCGGGGGATTAGGGCGCTCGCATTGCAAACACCCTAAGGCGGTTAGATTCCTCGTACCACACGGGTTCCCCACCCCCCACCCACCCCCCAGCGCTAGAGGATCTACCACGCTGCAAGAGTGGCCCTGGTGTTCCGGACTGCAGAGGTCTTTGCCTAACTGTTTTCGCAGGTTGGTCGAGTGCTGCAGGGCGTGGCCCCTTTAAGCACCCTCACCTACATTGGTGGGGAGTCCAAAAATGAATTAATAATAATAACAATACAGAAATGAAATTAACAAAATTCAAACAACCGGATAAATAAGCAAGTTTCTTCAACAAATAAAAAAAGTCTATTAGTTTTTTTTTAAGTGATGGTTGTAGAACTCTATAGTAAAAAAAAATCATCGAGGGGCCAGAGAAATCATATAAGGGCTTATTCCTGGTCTGTGCTCAGTGATGACTCTTGGTGGTGCTGGAACTCAAACCCCTGCCAGTCGCATGCAGTGCAAGCATCTTACCTGCTGTACTATCACTCTGGGCCAGAACTCACCTTTTAGAGAAACATTTAAAGTATTTACAAATAAAATATTGTGACATTTGGATTATGTGTCAAAATGATCCAGGAAGAGGTTCTGAGCCTGGGAACAGGATGAGATTGTAGATTATGCAAAACTAGACAAGAATTAAAATGTAACTGGATGATGGATACTTCACTATTCCCTCTCTCCTTTGGTGTATGTTTAAATTTTTCCCTCATAAGTTTTTTTTTTAAGTAATTCTTAAGAGGCCTGAAAATAACTCAAAGGGTGAACACTTTCTTGGCTTGCAGAAAGTCTGGATTTGATTCCTTGGCCACCTCTTGGAATAGTCCCCAGCACTTCCAGATATGACCACAAAACAAAACCCCCCAAAATTGGAGAGATAATTGCACATGAAGACTCCCAATGTTTCAAGCCAGAATGTACTTGGGAACCAGTACAGAGACAGAGAAACTTGAACTAGGGGTCAGAGAGATAATAGGGATAAAACTTGCCTTGCACTGCAAGGTGTGGGAAAGAAAGAAAGAAAAAGAAAGGGGAGTCACCACTTGCTCTGCACGCAGCCAACCCAGCATCCCATTTGGTCCCCTGAGCCCACCAGGAGTCATCTCTGAACATAGAGCCAGGAGTAACCCCTGAGCAACATCAGTGTTGCCAAAAACAAACAAACAAAAGACAAAAAGAGGGAGGAAGGAAGGAAGGAAGGAAGGAAGGAAGGAAGGAAGGAAGGAAGGAGAGAATAGAACACTATTCACAATAGCACTTCACAATCGCCAGAGTCTGGAAACAACCCAAGTGCCTAAGAACAGACTGCTGGATAAACAAACTATGGTAAATCTATAGGATGGAATAGTACACAGGCACCAGGAAAGATGAAGTCATGAAATTTGCTCATAAATGGATAGATATGTCAAGTATCATGCTGAGTAAAATAAGCCAGAAGGAACAGGACATACATAGAATGATTGCAATAATTTGGGGGATATTAAAAAAAAAACAGTATGAGACTAATATCCAAGGACAGTAGAAACAAGGCCCAAGAGGACTGGTCCACAGTTCGAAGATTGCAACAAGGGGTCAGGGCAGTTAAGATAGAGAAGGGACCGTTGTGACAGTGATAAATTGGAAATGATCACTCTGGGCAAGAACTGAGTGCTGAAAGGAGGAAAGAGGATATAGATGATAACTTTTCAGTACCTGTACTGCAAACCATAATGCCTAAAAGGAGAAGAGAGAGAGAGAGAGAGAGAGGGAGAGGGAGAGAGAGAAGAAATGTGTCTGCCATAGAGGGCTGTGGGGGGGCGGGGGTAGGTGGCAGGAGGGAAACTCGGGACATTGGTGGTGGGAAATGCACACTGTTGAAAGGATGTGGGCTGGAACATTTATGACTGAAACCCAATCATGAACAACTTTGTTGCTGTGTATCTCACGGTGATTCAATAAAAATAGATAGATAACCTGAATTATAGTTGGCAAATTGGTGAAGATTTGTTATAAGCAGGGCTTTTTCTAAATTCAGAGGCCTTGTGAAAGGAGAGGCTCTCATTTTTGTGTTTTATCTCCAGGAGTTCACAGGAAGATCAAAGAACAATCCCTGAAAGGAACTGTTTTATTCTTCTTTGAAAGGCCTGCCCTGAGGGTTGGAGAGAGTTCTGGTGTTAAGGTGGCAGGTGCCTTGCCTTTGGCTCATCCTGGTTAGATCCCCAGCATCATTTCCTCCCCCAAGCACCACCAGGAGTCACTCCTCAACAGAGGCAGGAATAGCCCCTAGACACTTTTGGTTGTGGAACCCCCAAAACTAAATTCTTTGGGGTTTTTATCATAGCCTACAGATTTAGGAGAAAGAAAATGTTCTCTCGGCATCCTGTTCCATCTAAATATACATAGGATAACAAAAGAACTTGTGAGATCCATAATTCATGACCAAAGAGTTACCAAAAGATTGAAAAGTAGTTTTCTGTGGGCATGGCTCAAGTGGAGAGATGGCCCAAATGGCACTGCAGAGGGAGAGAGGAGCAGAGAGGAGCAGGGTGGGGAATAAACCATCTTACATACAAAGAAAAAACAATGAGAACTAGGGATGGAGAGAGAGTACACTGGACAGGGTGCATGCCTTGCACAAGGTCAAACCCAGTTTGACCCTAAGCATCCTATATGGTCCCCCAAGCCCCATCAGAAGTAATCCCAGAGCAAAGAACCAGGAGGGAGCCCTGAGCACAGTTTAAAAAAAAAAAAAGCAAAAACAAAAATGAGAGCTATATTTGACTTCTCCTCAGAATCCATGCAAGCAGAGAGTGAAGTAAAACATTTGTTATGATGTAGGGGCTGGAGCAATAGCACAGCTGGTAGAGCGTTTGCCTTGCACACGGCCAACCTGGGTTCAATTCCCAGCATCCCATATGGTCCCCTGAGCACCACCAAGAGTAATTCCTGAGTGCAGAGTCAGGAGTAAACCCTGTGCATTTCCAGGTGTGACCAAAAACAAACAAAAAAAAATTAACAAACAAAAAAATTCAGGTGTAGAGCAAAACCAATCAACTTAGAATACTATTTCTTGCAAAATGATCCTTCAGGAGTGAAGGAGGTTGGGGTCAGAGCAATAGTACAGTGGTGGAGAGGAAATTTGCCTCGGCTGATGGGTTCTTTCCCTGGCAGTCCACATGGTCTCCATCAGCCCATATGGTGCCAAAGTACCACCAGGACTGATCCCTGAGTACAGAGCCAACAGTAAGCCCTGACAACCAGGTGTGGCCCAAACTACCACCACCCCCTCACCACCAACAACAACCAAAAGAAGAGTGTAGGTATATTTTCTCAGACAAACTTTCAGGGAATTTCTTGCCAAGTATACCTGCCTTGCAAAAAATATTAAGGGAAGCTCTTTAGCTGAAGAATATGAAGGGAAATGATTCTGATCAGATAAACATGGCTCTATACCGAGAAAGGGAAGCCAATAGAGAATGAAGACATGAAGTAGGTTCACCCAGATTCATGCATCCCTAAGGGGTATGGCTTGAACTTTAGTGAACTTTACTTTCTTGCTTGAGCTGGAGACCCATACTCCCTGTATCACTACCACACCACTCTGAGATCCTTCATTTTCATTGCCAAAGACTAGAGTCTCAAACCAGAAGAAATAGTGTGCTCTGAAAAAAGCAACTGACCCACCTCTTTTTTTTTAGCCATGACTTTGGGGTTGAGGTGGGGGTGGGGAGATTCCCAAGACTTGCTCAGGAGGCCAAAGGCCCCTAAGTAACATGACTACTAAGAGTACTTGGATTATGGGATTATTTTGACCACTGTGGCTGCCCACTGGTGCTTAGCTGACCATGTGGTGGCAGTGGCCGAAGGGGGTCTGGACATGTGCCTATTCCTGCCCATTTACCCTGACAGGGGCCAGAGGAGTGGGTACATTTCCCAAAAAATGTTGGAGATCAGGAAGGTGGCAGCTGAATCAGTTCTTTCTGGAGGCTTCCTGAGTGAGAATATGTTTTA